AATAGAGATACACATATATTGGTTGAATCTTGTATTTTCAATATCACACTCAAGTTCAAACCAAATATTACCATAAACCAAAAATTAATGACATGCTTCACAAACAGAGGGTTACCGGATAGATGTGGACCAAGGTTGACGGAAAACAACAAACGCAAACTAAACTTCTGATGGTAACAGTTTCTTCTCGGTTTGACAACCTCGACTCCAACTTACCGCACGAACAACTGACAACGGTGGAGCAAGTTTTTTTCTCAGATCTCAAAGGTGAAATGTGAAGGCCAAGACTTCAGAAACTGTTTGGCTCTGCATGCAATTAATCCAAAGTAAAATCGATATTAGTAGGTCAAGGAAAAAACGCAAGGTGTTTCTGTGGAATAAACCAAAAAAACGCACGAAATAAATTTGCTATTTCCTTACCTTACCTCCCACAGTAACCAACTTCATGCTTCAGCGATGGTTTGTTTTGGGTTTCTGACCACAAACATGAACATGGTAAAGGCTACCTTGGATGAGCATCTTCGTTTTCCTCTGTGCAAGTCTTTGGTCATAGGAAAGTGACAACTAACAGCTCAGCAAATAGATGCATCAACTTTTTCACTTTCGCGCGCTCTTGTTGGAGGGTACGCTCGTCAATTGGTCTTTGCACAGTGAAACCACATACGTTGCTATCTTGCAATACCACCTCTGATTTGGGAATCAATGGCCGGCTATCTCCATGAGAAAGACATGCAAATGGATTAGATGGAATAATCACTTAGGTAGATAAATATGTCAAACCGCTCAACCAAACAAGGACATCATGCAAACCCACTTCTCCATTTCCCCATCTATCTCTCCAAAATCCTCCAACCAAACACCCCTGAGAGTCACACATTCTAATGATGTTAAAAATTAAAAAATCTGCGTCCTATCTTTTTTTCTTTGAGTATTTTGACGTCAAAGATTTATGCCCACAACTTTTGCTTTTAAATATATAACTAGTCATGAAGTTTTTATACAACTGAAATTACATCCCTAGCTAATATTGTATGATTAAAAATTACAAAAATATAAGCATTATGCAGCGGTTAAAATCGTCACGAAATCCCCAAAATGCATTTAGCGGCGAAATGAACGTTGCCAAAAGCCTGCTTATTTTTAGTAATTATATTTAAAATAAATAAAAATTTGAAAACTATTATTGAGGCTAGGGATGTTAACGGGTCGAGCCGAGTTTTGGTCTTAAAAGGCTAAACTTGTGTTTAAATGTGTTAGTCTAAGCAAACCTGTTACTTATTATGAATATAATTATCGGCACGTGGCCTGATTTATTTACAAAAAATAAAATTATGATTTAGCCTGTTAATCTTTTTTTAAAAAAATAAGACAACAAAAATTTATCCAAATAGAATATACAATTAACAACACTAGTAATTTCATGAATATTCATAAATTTAATGTATATCCAAATAGTATAATATAGAACAAATCATTCAAAATCTCTGTTTAACCAATAAAATAGGATGAAATGGATTGAGGAGAGAGATATTATAAGTAGTATAAAAAATAAAAAATAAAAATTAATATACTAGGCCAGCCTGAGAGGCTCTAAGGCCGAGTTTTTGAATTTAAGCCTAAGACATTTTTATTAAACGAGTAGTCAAAGCCTGGTTTCAACAACCAATTTTAGATATATAAGTTCAGACCTTCACGAGCTGAGCCAAAGTTCCGGTTTGTTTATCACCCCTGACTGAATCCATTGTTACTCCATTCAAAACAATTTGGATAAGGTCACTGTATCTCCGTGTATAAGTCCATCCATTTTTTCTATAATTAGGTTTTCTATATTTTTAGTGTGAAATGATATCAAAGTTATTTTTCTTGGTGTTTTCTCACATGGTCGATGTAAAAAGGTGATTGTATCTATATACAGAAAAGAACAATGCACATTTTTTATGCTGTACCTTGCACATTTCTTATTCACTTGAAATCAAGAAACACGTATATTGAAAAAATGTTTAAATTTTATACATAACTAAACTGGAAGAGTTTGAAAATTTTTAAAAATAAAAATTAATAATGACACTTATTTTAATAAAGGAGAATAAAATAAAAATATCACTGCTAACTAAAAATACTTTAGTTTAAGATAAATGGTGGCAGCATAGTTTTTTTTTTACATTCTCTTTTTAATATATATTTTCGTTTATTTTGTCAAATCTTGTACTTACTCCATCGATCTACTTTCTATTAATGAAATTAGCATAGGATTTCAGTCAATAAAAAAAAAATGTTAAAATTTAGAGTATTGCCTACATTCCGCTTGTAATTTTTTTTTTTTTTTTTTTTGTAAATATTCCGCTTGTAATTTAATAAATAAAGTTTACCTATTGAAAATAAATTTCTGTTGGCCTGCACAGCTGCAATGGCTTTAGGGTGATAAAAGGCAATCAAAATTTGGTGGAATCACCAGTGATGAATTTATTTTTATAAATCTCTGTTGGCCTACACAGCTGCAATGGCTTTAGGGTGATAAAAGGCAATCAAAATTTGGTGGAATCACCAGTGATGAATTTATTTTTATAAATCTCTGTTGGCCTACACAGCTGCAATGGCTTTAGCTGCGATGTCCTTTTTATATTTTTATTTATTTACTTAAAATGTTTGGTGGCATTATTAAATACGTGGATTAATTTCAGTTATGGTTTCAAATTCAAATCGTGTTAAAAATTTCATAAAGAAAATTTTACCATTTTTGTGATCCTATTTTGCCTGTTTGATAAAATTAATTGAATAATCGGTAAACTATGGAAAAAAAACTAAAAAAAATAATTGTTGGGAGGCTGTTCATCCTTATAAAATCGTTTTTTTTACCTTGATAGCCTTCAATTAATAAAAAATTACATTTTTGCCTTTTTACCAAAATATATCACCCATCTGTCTGTGCTTTACTGTTAACACCGTAAAATACCCAGATACATAAGAGGTTATCCAGGTATAATTCGAAAAAATAACACTACTTGCTGACCTAGGTGGGCTATTTGGATATTGTTCATAATTTGAGAATTATTATGAATTATTTACCTAAGTAGGAAGGGGGCTACCTGAATAAATGTCACGGGTAAGTTTTTATAAAAACCCAGCAGCTTCCATTTTTCAAACCCACAAATCACAGTACCGAGTAGAGATGTGAAAAAGGAGAAATTAGTAATATATATGTCCTAAATATCAGCCGCCTCCAATCGTCTAGGATCTAAATATTTTACACAAACATAAGCTATTAATTCCGATCCATATACATCTCTATTATAATAGCTATTCCATCTTAAAGAAATATATGTCCTTAATTGGGCATGCGTTGCCATGGTCTCTAAAGTGATGGAGTGGAGTGGAGGACACGGATCCTAAGTGTGTTTTTGTGAACCACAAGAAAGGTAATAAAAGAGGAAACACAATATGGTACATTATTGCGATAAAAAAGCAAAAGCTAACAGAAAAGAGGCCATTATTTAATAAAGCTCAAGCTACATTTCAGAAAGGCAAAGGGACCCTTGAGGATGATACAACTACAAGGATATCGATCACTATAAATCATCTATATTATATTATACATACGCATAAAGATAGATAAAGAAAACCAGGGAGAAGGGAGGCATGTGGATGATAGAGAAGTGGATGTTTCCTCATGAAAAGAGAAAAGAGGAAAAAGAAAAGAAAAGGAAAGGCTTGGATTCTACGTTTATGAAAGGATCAGCTATCCATTCTGTTCCATGATCTTATGGGACATGCGAACGTCCAACATAAAGATCATATATATGCCATTACGCCAATACAATGGTCAATATTGTTGTCATTTCCACACGTGCTTCCTAATTATGTGCGTTTGTTGGCCTGTCGCTCTCATGTCTATTTTGTAATGCCTATTCTCCATTCCTCCCCTCTGCTACAATTCTCGCTCCCCACGCACAACTCGCTCCTATAGTCATGTATGTACTCCTGTTCGTTATTCATTCATTTCTTCTTTATAAAATCCATGACTAGAAAATGATCTCGCCTCTATTTATTTATGCATTGTATATTTGAATACTTCTTTTCTTATTTTCTGTGACGTATGTACATCACATTTATTAATTAACTCCTACTGAAAGAAAAAGTTTGGGCTAACTTGGAAATGATGAGAGAAGTTAACGCTATGATAAAATTAGAAATATGCAATATGAATACATGTGTATATTTTAATAATAAATTCTCAAACTAGTAGCATTCAAGAATCGGGAGCGGTGATTGAAGTCAAGATATTGGGCCTAGTAATTATCCCTTGGATCATGGTTTGTGAATTGAGGTGCAGACTCCGAGAGGAATGGGCTTTGGGCTAACAATTTTATCAGCCCAGTTGAGCTGAGAAATTTGGATGCATGGTCAATGGGTCATGAATCATCAACGGATCCACGCGAAAGAATGGACTGGATGTAGGAAAATTCAACATTAACATAATAATAGTTTAAATTTGAATTTAAATTTATTACAAGGGTTTAATATTTTCAGATAAAATTATCTCGCATGACCCAACAAGAATACACTAGGAGAAATATTAAATCAATACATATATAAGGGTTTGTTTTTTCTGATGTTACTTTAGATAACTTTATCTAATATTCATCAAAACGACGTCGTTTTGGGACAGAAATCATGATATTTTTATAATTTTAATTTATTTCAGAGTTATAATAGTCTTTATCACTCTAATTTTTTAATTTTTTAAACCCAAAACAACGTCGTTTCGATGAATATTAGATAAAGTTATCTAAAGTAACATCGGAAACTTTTTTTTCTACATATAAAACATAAAATTACCATAACATTTTAATTATTTCGATTTTTTTTTTTTAATCTTTCAACGCGAGCTCCTTTGTATTTCCAACACTTTTTATAATTTTTTGCAAAAAAAAAAAAAAGAGAAAAACCTAAAACTTCATTAACAGCATAGTTCTAAGTTTATTGTTGTTTGCGACGAGGATACGACTCGCAATGTGCAAAGCTAATTTTAGCGCAGTAGCAGTAACCAAATGAAGGCAAGTGTGAGGGTTTAGGTTTAGGTTTAGGTTTAGGTTTAGGTGAGTGACAAAGACAGGCTAAGAAGTGAAGGAAGGAGTAAGGAAAAGAGTGAAAGGAAGAGAAATGTTGTACATAATCGGTTTGGGATTGGGCGATGAGCGAGATATCAGTGTTAGAGGTTTGGAAGCTGTGAAGAACTGCGTCAAGGTTTACATGGAAGCCTACACTTCACTCCTCTCCTTTGGTCTCTCCACCAATGGACTCTCCAACCTGGTATAATACTCTTTCTCTTTCCCTTTTCTCATCATTGTTTGCATCCTCAATTTCTCACCTTTTCATTTCTTCTCTTCTTAGGAAAAACTATACGGTAAACCCATTACTCTTGCCGACAGAGAAATGGTTGAGGAAAAAGCCCATCAAATTCTATCCGAAGCTAGTGATGCCCATGTCGCTTTCCTCGTTGTTGGGGACCCTTTTGGGTATGCTATTCTATGCCCCTACTTCCTTGCTTAACTTTATTAGCAAAATTTGATTTTTTATTTTTTATATTTACCTAGGGCTACAACTCACACTGACCTTGTTGTTCGAGCAAAGAAGATGGGAATTGATGTCAAAATAATACACAACGCATCTGTGATGAATGCAGTTGGAATTTGTGGTCTGCAGCTTTATCGGTATGGGGAGACTGTTTCTATACCCTTCTTTACAGAGACATGGAGACCTGATAGCTTCTATGAAAAGATTCAAAGAAATCGAATGATGGGACTGCACACACTTTGCTTGTTAGGTTACTGTCTCTTATTCATGCTTTAAACTAGTGCTGCTGTTATACATTTTTGTGCCTCCATCACTTCTTTATTGAGAAAATTAATCTAACATGGGTCTTCTGAACCTATATTGAACCTAGTTGTGTGATTATGTTTGTAAGTGTTTGTTCCTGCACTTGTTGATCAGCTGAAAACTCAAAACTTGTTTACTATATTTATTATCTTCTACTACTTGGAATGGAATACCAAAGCCTAGAGTCTCGTATTAACATCTAAAAGACAGTTAACAGTAAAATTATTTTATTATTTTAACATCAGAAGAAATCTTCCTTTTTTGTTTCTTGAGAAAAGCTAATATAGTTTCCAATTTGGTATGGTTACAGATATTCGGGTGAAGGAGCCCTCACTGGAATCTTTGTGCAGGTTGGTTTTCTAAGTGGTCCTTTTTTTTTTTCTGTTGCTAATATAGTTTCTTAAGCAGTCAGTAAGTATAGATTGCGAAAGTTCGCTGGCAATCATTCTTATGTTGTGACAGTATCATGGCATTGATTGATTTGTTCTTATTATATGCTTTTCTCTGTATGTGCCTATTCTGTTTTTATTTATCTTATTTTTTGGTCATTGCAGAGGAAGAAAAACCTATGAACCACCCAGATATATGACCATAAACACAGCCATTGAGCAGCTCTTGGAGATTGAGCAAACACGTAAAGAATCTGGTGAGTTCCTTGAGAACTCACATCCCTCTAGGCTTAAATTTCAAGTGTTGATTATATGTTTCTTGATTGTACTTATATTCAAAGATATAAACCTTTGAAATTTGATCAGGATTTTGCTTTATTTGCCGGAAACATATTATAATAAAACACATTTTCGGCCTGTTAAAAATATTATGCTATCAAACAGTGGAAGTTCCACTTCCACCACTCAGAAAGAAAGAAAGAAGCAACATGGTGCGTTTTCCTTGTTTGTTAAAGTTCCACCACTAACAATTTGTCCTTTGCAATAGTCTAATGTAGTAGTTTGTCAATAGTTTTTCTTACCCAGATTCATTTGTCCTTTGCAATTTGTAGTAGTTTAAGTTATAAATTAAATGGATATAAAAATCAAAGCACGTAATTGTCTTTGGCTCTTTGCCTTTGGTCTAGCATGTCTTCAGATACACCATAAACCTCAAGATGGTTATACTGAACATTGGAGCCCATAAAACGTGAACCCATTCTCATTCCCAAAGACTTGCAGTTCTTATAGGCTTTCCAAATTTTGCTTTTGTCATCTACTCTGTAGGGTGCTGGCTTGTGCTGATGAACTACTTTAATTAGTTCGAGTCTTGAGAAATTATAGTCAAATACGTTTGATATAAATTTAGCTATTGCTTTGTTTTATATCCTAATTTTGACCTTTTACTGCAATATAGTCATCTGCTCTAGATTTTTGGTATGTTAAAATGCTTTGGTTTCAAAGATTGATTGGGCTGTTGATGTAGATCAATCATATCTATATTTCTGGTCCATATTGTTTTGTCCTGTGCCTGTATTTGTCGATCATATATATATGTGCTGAATAGTATGTGCTGATTAGGAGCCAATCTTCACTGTGATAAGAGTTCATATTCTTCTCATGTGGGCTTCTCTTTATTATCATAAGAAATATAGCTTTCAAGTTAAAAGTAACTTTTTCCCACCATTTGCCTTACAGCCTACACTGAAGATACCCAGTGTGTTGGGTTTGCTCGGCTTGGAAGTGAAGATCAGATGATAGTAGCTGGAACAATGAGGCAGTTGCAGTTGATTGATTTTGGAGCACCTTTGCATTGCCTTGTCATAACAGGTCAGACCCATCCGTTGGAGGAGGAAATGCTGGATTTTTACAGATGCAGGACGTAGTTACATCATTAAGATAGCAGGACCATTTTAATTCAACAAAGAAATTGTTTGTTTGTGGTGAAGGTGCCCTTATATGTTGTATTTTTTAAAACTTTTTGGTTGCCAATCAGAGCCAAAAGTATCTTAATTTCATTAGTGGCTTAGGCATTATGGAGCAGTCGGGTTTTAATTTCCTGATGCTATTACTGAACGAACATAACAAACATTCGTTTTCTTATTTTAAAATAATTTCTTTTCTCTGTTTTGTTTAATTCTATTATGAGCTAATTTGCTCTATAAGTTAGGTGATAAAGTACCTATGCTGTAACATTGAGATGTATGCCTAAACTTTGTTTATGTTAATGTTTAATTAGTTATTCAACGAATTTGCTTAATCTTATTCATGTGTAAAAATTAAAAAAAAAAATCAGCTGATCAAGTGTGACTATTAAAAATGGTTTAAGATCTAAATGGGAAAGGATGCTCTCAAGTAACATAGCATATTTGTGAAATCTCAACCGCCTAGGTATAAATCAATGGTTGTTTTTTTATTATTATTTATTTTAATATATTTTTCCATCACCATTTATTTGTATTTAGATGGTTGAGGTTTTTTAAGATCAATGACTGATTTTTAAAGTATCGGAAGAACTGATTTATCATAGATTGTTGTTGATGTTGCTTCTGATTGAGGTCAGAGACAACAGATTGCTTCTTTTAAATTTTGCCATTGAACTTGTAATTAGTTAATTATCAGCACGCTATTTGATAAAGAAGAAAACTTTATGGGCAATTTCATTCGCTCTACGTTTAGAATTAAAATAATTGAAACGGAATGATGTACAAGTCTTATCAAAAGGGGTAGGATACACAAATCATGAAATTTTACACACAATGATTTGCAAGTAAACGGAATTCTTTGAACAAAATCATTTTAAACAAATTTCATGCATTCTTACAGCCTACACTCGCGCCAAAATTAATAAGACATGATGAAAACATTTCATGGTCTATTTCTGCATATCTACTGCGGGATCGAACCAAATGTGACCTTGGAAGTAACATTTCAAACATCGAACACTTGCTTATAATTAATGAAAGATAACACGGATAACAGTGGATTATATGGTTTGCAAAAATCACCTGTTGAGAAAACAACAATGGAAATCATGTCCACATGCAATAGCACTTGTAAACAAAACTGCAGCGGCCTGTAAGAGCTAAAACAGGATTACTTCTAGCCAAAAAAGGTGTATCATAAACAAAATCATTATGCTCTCAAGTAATTAAAGCTGACTTCAAAATGGCATAAGTCTAACGAATGTTACTTTTACCACAGTTTCCTTGTAACCATGTCAGTAGTATCTTGTCACATTTTAAAGAAATGAAAATCTCCCTTGAACTAAGGTCCTCAAAGAGGAAAAGTAGAGCTGTTGATCGATGCCTTGTACCTCATCAAGAGCCATAATACAATTAGTTATGGAGAATTTATCATCATTTACAACTGAAACCAACTGTCCTTAACCTATAGGCAGCAACCATCTCTAACAAGGCTTCTGTCATAGCAATAGCTTCGCAGCTGTCTTGATCCAGACTGGTATTTTGCAACTCAGATGGTCGTTTCATTTTCGTATCTGGAGAATTCTTAGTTACCTTCTCTGCAGTTGAGGTATTGCACTGTATGGACTTTGATGATGATGTGTTTTGATAATGTGAGACCGCAGCTTCTGGACATGAAATTAAGCTGGTGGCATATATTCCAAAAGACTTGTCCAACTCTTCATAATGACTAGATTGGGCATATTTCCCATCAGCACCTGAATCTGTGAATATTGTACAGTGCTGCTCATATATCAGACAATCTTTCAGTTTAACTGTTTCAGGCCTAGGCTGTTCCTGTATACAAAACCTATCAAAATTCATAATAAGAATAAAGAAAAAGGAAAAGATTGCTTTTGCTTCTATAATGAAAGTGTTTTTACCCCTATGTCTTCCCATAGTTCAAAGCCAATGCAACAGGAATCATCTATTACAAAGTCATTATTTTTTTTTTTGTAAAGTCATTATTTTGATTATAAGTGGATTGCATATTATAGAAGCGTGTCCGAAGAACATCTAGATGCTTCCTCAATTGATTATTATTGAAATTGAGGTCTGTTTGCTTATTCAACTCATCACGAATGTGATTCCAAGTTTTCTTGTCAAAAAACATTGTTTGGTCTGTTCCCTAGTTGAATCTGCTTGACAACCAAGTCTGCAAAATATCTTGTCAAGCGATACTGTCCATCTTGTCCTCGAACGCTCTTGCTTGGGTTGATTACTACGTTCGATTTCCATCTACGCCTGTTGAAATGCTCATAAAACAACACTTTATTCAGCATCATCTTTTGCACTAAATCCACTGAAATTTAAGAAAAAGCAAAAATGAAAGTGTCATGCTGACACTAGGCTAATTGTGCAAATTTGCAAAATGTTAATTTGGCCACAAGTGCATTCTATTTTTCCATACTAACACATGGAGAAAATTGAATTAAACTGAAGCAGAACAGCAGATAGCAAATTGAATTATTCTTGAAAGACAAGGGCAGCTGATATAGCCCACACCACATGATCTATTCTAAAAGGGAATGGCAAAATGGTTGTGCGGTCTCTTATTGACGGATTTTCTGTGATTTTGAAAGTTTTGAGGGATGAGGCTCTACACAAGGCTAGTGACAATAATTCCAGACCAAAGCTAGCTCGTGTGATCCTTAATGTTAAATTTTAAGCATTTTACAACATGGGTTTACCTGAAGAAGATCAAGCAGCTGAACTAGCCCATGTAATCTACCTAAGCAAAACTTTTTTACTTCGAATTGCTAATCCCGCCTGTTGGAAGAGAAACCGTGCAACACAGGTTTATGCATTTGTTCTCAAGTGTACAACAATCAAACTTGTTCATCAAACAATAAAGGGAACACATCATCAAGTCTCAAACTGAATAATTCTGAATATCAATTATGTTTCTAGTTTTTACAAGATCCAAACTTCATTTGATCAATCAATACTAGCTATTTTTGGATAAACCACAAGTATTCTCTATGGGAGTCAATCATGTTCGGGACGGGTCCAAGATTAAGACTTTAAACCCTTTCCAAAGATGATAATGGGAGCATCGAACATTTCATATTCAAACTGCAGAGCATTAATGGCTTCTACTAAAACAAAATAAGTGAGTCAGTCATGGTTTCTGTCAACAAGATAGAGGGAAATTTCTCTTTTACGCACACAAGAGAAACAATTCAGCCAACAGATAGTTCAAGAGAAGAAAGGAGTCAAAATAACACGTGACAATGGCAATTAAAACAAGAAAATCATATTCATTGATAGGTGACGATATACCTCAAGCAGTTTGGGGGTTTGAGAAATCAATGAATCTCCTACGAAGAAGGTGAAACTTCAACGGGTTAACCATTAAAATATAAAATAAGAACACCAGGCTCAGATTCATCAAATGACAAGTGAGATTCCAGAGCAGAGAGTAACTGAAAGAGAAGGAGGCTTTTATATACATACAACCAACATGATGTATAAAGCTTCCGATACCAATTAATCCTTTATTAAAATAGGGGATTGAAATTCTCTTTACCGGAGAATTCCATCCAATCCTGCATAGACAAAAGACGTAGCTGTCACTTTTTTTTTTTTGCAAAACTTTCATGGGACCGTTACTCCCTTAGTGCTGAAATGGGTTAAAACTTAAAATCTCCCTCCAACGGTAAAAAGTTTTAACCCGTTAAAATAGATAATATCGTATCTTATATTATAAAGGAATTTCATTACGTGGGAACCTTGCTGACGTATCGCACTGTGGTTCAATTTTATCATTGTGTTCACACTACAAATTTTAAAAAAGTTTCCTTTAATGGTAAATCGGTGAATATAATAAATACAAAAAAGAATTATATTTTCAATGGACAGGATTTGTTACTTTAAATCAATAGTCAAGATTGCTTATTCGTTTGTGTTTATTAATGTATTCGTTTGTTCTTTTTAAGTAGGTTCTAATCATTTTGTTTTTTAAATCTTTAATCAGTTTAATTCAAAAACTTTACATTTTTTAAAGAATACAATTCTATTTACTCGAAAAAAAAATTAATTAGTAAAAAAAAAACACTCATATATTTCCCGACCTTTGTTCCTTATTTTCAGATTTTTAAATTTGAATCTTTTATTAACCTCTTGATTCAGTGGAATCAGGTATGAGTGTTTTGTTATTAGAAAAAACTTCTGTTTTATTCCATGAAAATCTCATTTCTAACTACTAAATCACTCTTTTGTCGTCATCTTTGTTTTTTAAATAATTGATGTTGATCATGTAATCTAATCGTTTTTTTTAACCTTTATTCAGTTTAATTCAAATCTTTACGTTTTTTGAAGAAAAAAAAAACGGGATATTCATTGTTATTAAAACAAATGACTGTTTTATTCCATGAAATGACTGTTAAAAAAACGGGATATTCATTGATTTATAACTACTAAATCACTCTTTGTCGTTATCTTTGTTTTTTAAATCTTTATTCAGTTTAATTCAAAAACTTCACATTTTTTAAAGAATACAATTCTATTTACTCGAAAAAAAAATTAATTAGTAAAAAAAAAAATTATACATATCCCGACCTTTGTTCCTTACTTTCAGATTTTTAAATTTGAATCTTTTATTAACCTCTTGATTCAGTGGAATCAGGTATGAGTGTTTTGTTATTAGAAAAAACTTCTGTTTTATTCCATGAAAATCTCATTTCTAACTACTAAATCACTCTTTTGTCGTTATCTTTGTTTTTTAAATCTTTATTCAGTTTAATTCAAAAACTTCACATTTTTTAAAGAAGACAATTTAAAAACTTTAAATCACTCTCATTTATACAATTCCTGATACGCATTATTCTTCAACATCGGTGATTGCTTCTCTGTTTTTTCTTCTTACACAAAATATGAGTTCAAAATATGATTTTCTGAAGGATGTTAATTCTGCCAAGGAGGACTGGAGGATTAAGGTGAAGGTGGTTCGGACTTGGAAAGTTCCTAACTTTCAGCGTATCACCGAGAGATAGGACACTGAGAGATGTTCTTAGAATTTCTGATACAAGCTGTGTTGATATGCCATTTGGTGGAAAAGTTGTTGTTCTAGGAGGTGACTTTCGGCAAATATTACCTGTCATTCCTCATGGCAGCAGACAAGATATAGTTCATGCAACCATCAATTCTTCTCATCTATGGTCCCATTGTCATTTATTAACTTTGACCAAGAACATGCGTCTTAATTCTGGAAGTAGCGCTCACAATTTAGAGGAAATAAAAGAATTTTCTGAGTGGCTACTTAAAGTTGGGGATGGTAATCTTGGAGATGATGTTAAAGGAGAATCTATTATAACAATTCCAGATGAATTGTTGATTAGAGAATCGAAAGATCCGCTGTCGGATATGGTTAATTTTGTTTATCCGAATCTCTTGGATAATATTTTGGATCAGACCTTCTTTAAAGAACGTGTTATTCTAACCCCTAAATTGTCTGATGTTGCTATGCTAAACGAGCACCTAATGTCTATGATTCCTGGTAAAGAAAGGACTTTTTTGAGTTCGGATAAAATTCTTAAGCAAGGTGGGACTTCCTCTATTGAGGATGATGAAATCACCCCTGAGATCTTAAATACATTATCATGCTCAGGGATTCCTGATAATAAATTAATCTTGAAGTTAAAGTTCCAGTAATGTTATTAAGAAATATTGATCAGTCGAGAGGTTTATGCAATGGCACGAGATTGCTTATTACAAAATTAGGGAATCATGTTGTTGAGGCAATTGTACTTACAGGAAGCAATATAGGGGAAACTGTGTTAATCCCTAGAACGACTATGAGCCTATCGAGTCATACATTTCCTGTAAATTTCCAAAGAAGACAATTCCCCCTGATTGTATCGTTTGCCATGACTATCAACAAGAGTCAAGGACAATCACTTTCACATGTTGCAATTTATCTCCCTAAGCCTGTCTTCACTCATGGGCAATTATATGTGGCACTGTCTAGAGTAAAGAGTAAGCATGGATTGAAGATATTGATACTTGATGAAAATGGCTGCGTTACGAATGGTACCCTTAATATAGTTTACAAGGAAGTATTTCAAAGACTGCTATAGTATATTGGGTTCTTTCTTCAAAGATATAACCTCGTGGTATGGTACAGGTAAAGACAAAAAAAAATGACTGTTTATTCGCGTCTCTTTTCCTTATCTATCTTCAAAGATATGACCTTTATTATCCTATTTTCTTTCCTATTTTTAATGTAACAATGAATGACTGTTTTGTTATTTAAAAAAATGACTGTGTGGGACCTTTGAAATACTGACAAAATGAGTTCGGCCCTCCGGGCCGACCCACCACGCCAAACAAACCAATTTTTTTCCCTTGCATCGGCACGGGTAATTCACTAGTATTTTTTAAAGGAAAAACTACTCTCACGTTATATTTGATAATTTTCTCTACTACAAACCTTTCGATAACTGTGTCACTTTTTTTTTATTTTTCAGGTGGTGGAGCCCACAAATTTATCTCTATTACATGGGCAAAAAAATTAAGTTAATGCTTTTTAATAAATTAATTACGCATTTATTTATTAGAGTTTTATAAATAATTACATATTTATTGCATAATATGACACCCAATTTGGGCGTCACTAAAGATGCCTAAATTGGACGTCACTCAAGAGACAATCACACCTAATTTATGCGTCACTCGTCAGGTGTTGACACGTGTCATTTTTAAAAAAAAAATTATTTAATTATAAAACTTCTAAAGGCCATAACTTTTAACTCGGGTATCCAAATTAGGTAATTATTTTTTTATCCCACATAACTTTTCGAGATCTACGCAATGACATCTCATTTGACATATTTTATTTCTCACAAACATAATTTAAATTTGCAAGAATGATATTATAAGAGCGGTTAAACCCAGAAGCCTCTGAGTTTTGGGTTTGTGATTTAATATAAAAAAATAAATAAAATTTTGATTTTTGATTTAATTTTTTTTATAATAATTTTTTTTATTATAACAAAAATTTGGTCTGTGATTTAAATTAAAAATAAAAATAAATATTATTATTAAAAAGAAAAACAAAATAAAGATTTGATTTGTGATTTAAACTAAAAAATCAATTTGAAAAATTTGTAGAAATAAAGGAAATAATTAAATAAACATTCTAAATCTCTAAAGAAGAAAGATTACCTGATTTAAATTTAAATTATGTTTGTGAAAAATAAAATATATCAAATGAGATGTCATTGCGTAGATTTGGAAAAATTATGTGGAATGAAAAAAAGAATTACCTGATTTGGATACCCGAGTCAAAAGTTAAGGCGTTCAAAAAATTTATGATTAATTTTTTTTTTGGAAAAAAAATATTACACGTGTCAACACCTGATAAGTGACGCCTAAATTATGCGTGATTGGCTCTTGAGTGACGCCCAATTTAGACGTATTTAGTGACGCCCAAATTGAGCGTCTTATTGTGTAATAATTCTCAAAACTGTAATAAATGCATAATTATTTTATTAAAAAGCATTAAATTAATTTTTTTCCCCTATTACTTGAGATAACTTATCTCCTTTAACATGAAATTAATAAAATCCAATATTAAAATAGATAATATCGTATGGGAAGGATATGGTAACAATCAACTAATGTTACTATCAATGTTACTACCAATCAGTTTCACCATTAGATCGATTATGTTGATAACGGTTATATTTATTTCCATCTTTGTATGGTTATGATTTCTCATATTTAATACTTTATATTTATTTTCACCTTTGTATGATTATGATTTCTCATATTCAATGCTTTCACATTAAATATAGAGAATCATAACCATACAAAGATGAAAATAAATATAACCGTTGGATCAAAATAATCGATCTAACGGTGAAACTGATTGGTTGTAACATTAATTGGTTGTTACAATATCTTATCTCATATCGTATAATATTAAGATTATAAATTTAAGGGTATTTGGTAGAGAATAATTTCTTTTATCCGAGAATCACAATTCCCAGAAATATAGTGGAAAAGTGAATTTATCAAGAATGTTATAAAAAAGCTGTTTAGTAGGCCAAAATATTCTCAAAAATATTGGGTCAATTTCTCTTATGTTATATTTGGTTGATTGTAAAATATTGCTGGAGATGTGGACCAAATTTAAAAATTAACCTTTATAAGGAAAAATAATTACAAAAATTTTCAGTCTCGACTCTCTCTCAATCGATTTAGTAGGTGAATGGAGGAAAATAATAGGCTCAAACCGTATAGAAGCTCATTTGAAGGACGCGAATAGCTAGCTTCAAAACTTTTGCGAGGAAGACTCGTGGTTCTTATAAGTCCTTAAACTGTACAGAAGCTCAGCTATCTCAATCTTGATGTCTTTCTGATTTGAAGAATTTTGCGTTTAACCTGAAAGAGGGATCTTGTTTGTTTTTGCCATGACTTCATGTGAAGCTCCTTTTTCCCCTCTCTCCTCTCTCTACGTATACCCACCTTTTTATTTTACCCAATAATTTCTTGTTGCATGTAAGATAAGTTGATTTTTATATCGGATTTTTCAGTCTTCCAATTTTCTAAATATTTTGGGAAATGGGATTTAACATAGAACCTGGATTTGTATCCTTGTTGCATTGATAAGTATGGTTTGAAGTTTAATTTTCCTTCTTAGTATGGTGTTGTGACTGTCAAGGGGGTGGGGGAAATTTTTCAACTTTTTTTATTTTCAAATTGTCCTTTTCATGTGTGGAACTAAAATTGAAATTTGAAAGAGGCTCATCTTCAAAAAGTGAATCTTGGGTCCAATCGATTTCTGAAACAGAAACAAAGTGATTCTTCATAAAGCTTCATGCCATTTTCTCTTCTTTGTCACGTATGAACAAAATCATAAATGAAAAGGGAGACAAGTAAAATCATTGGAAGAGGGGTTTTGACATTGAACAAGGGGGAAGAAGGGCTTGGTAGTTGCGGAGAAGAAATGACAGGGTTATTTTAGTGAAAAAATCGTGTTTCAGTTTCTCACCAGATGAGAATTCCAAAATACCACCCACCTGGTGGTATTTTTTATGGAAATATGCTTCACAAATTGAAATTTCGAAAATTTGATCTTTCCGATTTTTTTTTTTTATAATCCTTATATCAAATATGAAAAAATAAGAATGCCAAGCTCACTTTTCGAGGAAATAAAATTTGCCCACCTATCAAACGCCCCTCCCTTAGGGTGATAAGCTTCTACTTTGCAAGAGAAAACTTATCACCTGCAAAAAAAAATTACAGAAAAATATCCAGCAGAAAGAAAGTTATTTTTCTAATTAATTTACAGAAAAAAAATTATGCAGTTACTGCAGATAAGTTATCTGTATTTACTCCCAAAACGACGTCATTTTGAGATTGAAATATTAAAAATTTATAATTATAAAGACTATAATAACCCTGCAATAAATTAAAATTACAAAAATACTATAATTTTCGTCACAAAACGACGTCGTATTTGGCTTACTGCAGATAACTTATCTGCAGTATCTGCAGAAAAAGCGAACCCATAAATTTAATATAGTTTAAGGTTTGTTTTTTTACAGTGAATGCAGATAAGTTATCTCCATTGAGCCCAAAATGACGTTGTTTAATGATAAAAATGAAGATTTTTTTAGAATTTTAATTTATTTCAGGGTTATAATAGTCTTTATAACTATAATTTTTTAATCTTTCAACCCTAAAATGATGTCATTTTGAGAGTGAATGCAGATAACTTATCTATATTCACTGCAGAAACAATTAAGCCATAATTTAAAGTAGAGAAAAATGTTTCTTCTGTCACATAAAATAAAGTTATCTCCTGCAATTTCGATACTACGTTATTTTGAGGGTTTGAGAAATTAATGATAGTTGTTTAAATTCATATAATAAAATAATAAATAAAATTATCAAAACATCCTTTATTAATTCTCTCAACTCTCAAAACGACGTAGTTTTGAGATTGGAGTAGATAACTTTATTTATTGTGATTTAAAATATCATAAAAACATATTAATAATATTTTTTTAATACTTCATTATTATTTTTATCAATTTATTAGTCTCTAATTTAATATAAATAAAGATTCACACTATTTTAATGTAATTATATCAATCACTTCATTAATATACAATATTAATTATTCTTCTCCTTTATATATTTAGGGTCTGATTTTTGTCTTTTTAAAATATATAGAGTTACGTCATTTTAAATGATAGAAAGATACAAGCAATGAAAATCTTGGGGGGAGAAAGTGATTGATATTTTTTTTAATTTAACTCTTAAATAAAAAATTAGTTTGTGTCTTTTTCTCACTTAAAATAATACAACTCTATGTCTTTTAAAAGGACAAATATTTTCTCTATATATATATATATATTCCAATAATTTTTCATCTTTTGATGTTTGGGGAAATGTGTGAAATAAAAATGGGAAGAAAAATTTTAGAGTGAAAGTGACTTTTAAGCTAAAGTTATATTTTTTTTAATAAAAAAAACTAGAAGTTATTTGATGATTGTATAACTTTTTTTTAGCTTAAAAGCTATTTATTTACCCAAAAAAAACACAAATTTCAAAACATGATTACATAAATTTTTTGGCTTTTTACTTTTTTTCTTCATTATAAATAATTCTTTTACACAAATTCTTTTTATTATAAGTAAAAGCTTTTGTAAAAAATTGATTGGCCTAACTTCTACTTTTAAAGAGAAGAGGCTAAAACCAAATGGTGGTAGCTCAGTTGGCGCATGGTAACTAAGCAGGTGGGGGTGAGAGCATGTGTTCGAATATCTCCAGTACCACCTTTGGGAGGGGTTTAAAACTTTAATCCTGGACCCGCCCCGAATCGGATTAGTTGCGAAGCAATGAACCGATTGAAATATTTCCAAAAAAAAAAAGAGAAGAGGCTAAAAAGAAGACTTCCCAATAGCATTTGGGCTCGTTTGGATGGATTTATGAAAAAATGCGTTTTATGTTTTACTTATTTTAGAAGTATTTTTACAAAAGTTAAAGCTATTTAGATTTTTAAAAAACTATTTGAGTTTTAAAAAAATATTTGACTTTTGACTTCTGCTTGTTTTAAAAGCTAAATTTTTTAGTTTAGACTTTCAAACGAAGTTTATAGTAGAAGTTTGTTTTTCTTTTTTTTTAAAAATAGCCTTTCGCTTAAAAAAATCAACCAAATGGGTAGGGATGTAAATAGGCTAGACTAGACTTTGGTTTCAATAGGCTAAGCCTATGTAAAAAATCTTTGGTCTAGCTTGACCTGTTAGCTTGTGTAGGCCCAAAGTACAAGTGTGATCTGACATATATTTAAAAATAAAAAATTTGGCCAAAGTCTATTAACCTATTTAAGCTTATTAAATATTTAATAATTAAAAATATAACTAAACTAGTATTACTTTATTATTCAAATAATAATTTTATTTATTTTATTTAAAATAAATAATATGATATAGACTGAGCTTAAATTTATAAGATTGATATGTAATAAAAAATCTATGACCTACTTTCTAAATATATTTTTCTTTTAAATCCAAAAACTATTTTATTTAATTATTTATAATAGGTTAAATTTAACCTTATATAGATTAGGCTATAGACACACCCTAATAGCTTTAAAGCTGAAAGCTAGATCCTTGGCGTTAGGGAATAGGGACACATATCAAAGTTTGATTATAGTTTAAGTCAAATCATTGGGTTTACGATGATTAAGATGAAGGGTCCTTCTCACTCAACCAATCCTCGATAGCCAACAAGCCAGCCACTCTACCATCCAAACGCACCGACGAAGCTCGCATCAGTCATATGTTGACTCTCTAATTTTACCTTTATGCCCTGCAAATTCACCGACGCTACGTTCTTTTTCACCAAACAGCAGCGGGGCAATCTCGTAATTTAACAAACAAAAGACAAGACCACAAAAGTAGATATTCTCCCGCGGGAATCATTCGTCGCCGTCGCAACCATTTCCAACTGCATTCTCTCTCCTTTCTCCTCTGACTCGGGTCGGGTCGGGTCGGTGGGTTCGTTAAAGCATTTTCTGTTCAAGATCCAACTCATCCACCCTAACAAACGAGCACAGTGTGTATTCGGTTGGTGGTTTGTTTTTTTCTTGTCGGTTTCTGAAACTGAATCGTTACAAGCCGGTTTCTAAAGATAGCCATTGTCGTTGTCGTTCGTTGGCGTGCAACCTAGAAATTGTGTCTCTGAGGGTAGAAGAAGAACGCATTGCGCTCTAAGGAAGTGCTACATTGAGTTGGTACGTGAACAATGGTAATGTGTTGTTGGGATCTGATTATATAGATCCAGGTCCCGAACTCTGTCTCTGTGTTGTTGTTTTTGCTTTTGAAGCGCATTTTTCATAATGGGACAAAAATCGAGGTCCAAAGGGTGCTGTGGTTGGTTCCTTGCGCTTCTGATTCTGGCTCTGGTTGTCGGTGCTGTTGTTTTTACCATTAGGAAGAAATTTGGTCACTCCGATAAGCCAGCTCCGGTTCCGGGCCCCCCTGGAGCTATCGAACAAAAATATGCCTCTGCTCTCAAAACCGCAATGCAATTCTTCGATGTACAAAAATGTAATCTTTTATTTATTTATTTACTTATTTTTGTTGCATATCACAATGTAGTCGTGTTTGAATCCATTAAATATGGTATGCTGATGCTACATATGATTACATCCTTTAATTTCTATTATCTCTTGTTCTCTAGGTGTTTGTTGAATTAACAATCATGTTTTCTCTTGCAGCTGGCAAGTTAGTAAACAACAAGATAACTTGGAGAGGGGATTCAGCTCTTAAGGATGGGAGCCAAGCAAATTTAGATCTATCAAAAGGAATGTATGATGCTGGTGATCACATGAAGTTTGGTTTTCCGATGGCTTTTACTGCCACGGTTTTATCGTGGGCCATTCTGGAATATGGAGATCAAATGGATGCTGTTGGCCAGTTGGAACCGGCACAAGGTTCGCTCAAGTGGATCACTGATTATCTCATCAATGCTCACCCTTCTGCGAATGTTCTTTATATTCAGGTGACTGTACTTTACAACTTCATTTGATGCCTAAGTTTATTATCTTTTCTCTTCTTACAAGGACATAGTCGCTATGGGTACTCCATAATTTTTGGAATGTTTCTGTAGCTAAATAGCATTTAATTTTGATCCATTGACAGGGTAGAGGTTTTACACTATATGATGCAACCTGTTTCGAAAACAATTAACAGCTTTAGCTAGAAGTGTAAAATCTCTCTTAGTTACAACAATGATGTGACACATTCTCGTTTCGTTATAATGAAAAACTGTTACATTGATGATGGATCAAATTTAAAATCAAAACTATATTGTTGTTTTCCCAGAATTGGTTTTCTATTTGTACCGTTATTGGTATGTTTGTGGTATTAATGCCGGGGAAGGCCATGAGATTAGATAAGTGATCTTGTTCAGGGCAATCTATTGATTTGGGATTTTCGAGACTTCCTTTTTTTTGTTTCCTCCTATTTCCCTTAATCTTTTAATTTTCAGACTTTGTTGTATGTGCATATGGCGATTGATTAACTACGGATTTCTCTTTAATCTTTATGTTCAGTCACTTCAGCCTTTGTCTTTTGGAATATATATTAGGACTGTCAGGCTGTTTAACAATCTATATTTAGGCAAAACTTTTCTAACCAGTTTCTTTTATATAAATCATTGCGGCAGGTGGGTGATCCTGTTGCAGATCACAAGTGTTGGGATAGACCTGAAACCATGACTGAGGAACGGCCACTCACACAGGTGAACTCATCTTGTTCTGGATCAGACGTTGCAGCTGAAACTGCAGCAGCCATGGCCTCAGCATCTTTGGTCTTTAAAACGACAGATTCTACATATTCAAGCACTCTCCTCAAGCATGCAAAACAGTTGTTTACTTTTGCTGACAAGAATAGAGGATCTTATAGTGAGAATATACCTGAAGTACAGACATATTACAACTCAACTGGATATGGTGATGAGCTTTTATGGGCAGCTAGCTGGCTTTATCATGCTACAGATGATGATACTTACCTTCAGTATGTGACTGGCCAAAATGGAGAAGACTTTGCTCAGTGGGGAAGTCCAACCTGGTTCAGTTGGGACAACAAGCTTGCTGGAACTCAGGTCTTAAATGCTCAATTTTTTTTCCGGTTTCTAGTTTCTGAAGACAATCATTAGTGTTATGAATGTTGCTAGAGAAAATGGCTTTTTAGACTTGATTGCAACGTACACATCACATAGAGAAAATAAAAGGATTTATTGGCTTAAAGTTTTGTCTTCTGAACAGAGTTGAGCTAAATTGGGAGTCTTGTAGCTTTCTCTTATTCTGGACGATGATTCTAGTTTATCACAAAGCTGACTTTGTTTTCATTTCCTATAATAATTCTGCCTTCTTCGTGCAGGTTCTGTTATCAAGACTAACCTTTTTTAAGACAAAGGACATTTCAAATTCATATAGCTCTGGTCTCCAAAGTTACAGGAAAACAGCTGAGGCTGTAATGTGTGGCCTTCTTCCAGATTCTCCAACGGCCACAAAAAGCAGAACAGATAGTAATGCTCTCCTTGAATGCTATATGACTGTATACTTACACACCTATAATTTTTTTTTCTTTTATCCCTGCCACATTCCGTTTTTCGTATCCTGGTAATTACATGTGTAAAACTCAGCAAGTAAGGTGTTACTTTGAAGATGGATTCTACTTGTTTGTCTTGTTGATCAGGACTCTTTCCTCGCAACTTTGTCATGTTGCGGAAGAAAAAAGGGGAGGAGGGGGAGACCCAGGGTGAATATTCTGCTTGTGGTTTATAGAGGGTCAAGTGTATGCAACCTTACCCATTTTGACCAGTGAGGCTGTTTCCAAAAATAGAACCCATTATGGTTACAAGGGAGCAACAGTACTGTTGCACTAAGGCTCAGCTGCCAGGAAACTTGAGAATCTAATTAGCTAAATTGAGTTATAGGCGGACATCAAATTAATGACACGCTGACTAGTTGTAATTGCCAGTGATAATCAATGCTTCTGGACAAAAATATTTTTTAAAATTTAAACTATTGAAATTCATTTTTAGAAGCATATTTCTACTGGCACTGCTATATGTTCTGTAGTTTGATTATTATTTTTATTTAACACAGATGGTCTTATATGGGTGAGCGATTGGAACTCTCTGCAGCATCCTGTTGCTTCTGCATTCTTAGCTGCTCTTTACAGTGACTATATGCTTACATCGCAGACTCCAAAACTAAAATGTGATTCAGATTCCTTTACACCATCAGATCTTCGAGACTTTGCCAGATCTCAGGTATGCATCCATTATTTTTTGCATAGAAATTCAGCTTGATATGATCCATGTTCAAATTGAAAATCTATTTAATACTTCCAGGCTGATTACGTGCTGGGCAAGAATCCTTTGCATACGAGTTTTCTAGTGGGATATGGAGATAAATTCCCACAATTCGTACATCATAGGGGGGCTTCAATTCCTGTTGGCTCAAAAACTAGCTGTAAAGATGGCTTCAAGTGGCTTGACTCACCTGATCCTAATCCCAATGTAGCTACTGGAGCACTTCTTGGTGGACCCTTCTTAAATGAGACTTACATTGATTCCAGGAACAATTCCAGGCAAGCAGAACCAAGCACATATAACAGTGCTGTCATAATCGGCCTCTTATCAAGTTTAGTCACCACATCTTCTGCCGTTCAATCCTTTACCTAAGCTCTAGCTTCCTCTCCGTCCTCATATCTGCCCAAAAATAGTTGACAAAGATTTGTGTTTTATGAATCTTTATTCATTTCCCAATCCTGACGAATGAAAAGTTTTAAAAGCATGGAACATTATATTGTGACGATATGCTTGATTGTATGGGTGTAAACTGTGGCGTCTGGATAGGTTAATAGTAAACAAATTGGCGTGAAGTTTTATTTGGCATTATTAGCTCACCAGCTCTAGCTATTTTGTTGTACTTGTCTCCAGAACATAGCTTTAAATTTGTTATTATTATTATTATTATCATCATCATGGTTATCAACTTAGTGATCTTCGGTTGCCCTTTGTTGTACGAGCAATCTGTGACCCAAAACCATCCCATGACGTTGTACATTTTCTTGGCATCTACGACTACCTAGTGCCTGCGCAGTGATCCTTGTTGTTTCTGCAAAGATGAGTTTTTGAGGATGGGAAATAAATTTATTAACCTTGAAACTAATTATTAATGTTTGGTTCACAGCCCTTACTAAAATTCGTAATATTAAAGTGTCTGATATGGTTAAAATTGTATACATGTGAGGTGATTTGTACATAAATTGACTGTTGTTATTAGAAACCAATTAAACAATGAATTAGATGTGAGGATTAAAAAATTATGAATGGCTAAGAGTGGAGTGAAGCCGACAATAACTTGGTGAGGAAAAGGTTAGAGAGGGGACTTGAGGTTGAGGGTAGGAAAAAACTGGAACTGTGACTAATGTGTCACATTTTTTGTATTAATATATCAAATTGGCACGGTAAAATTTACCAGACTGCCACGCGTTAAAGTTCGTTACAACTGATAGCGAACTTGGTAACCAATAATTTCTTGACAAATGCCACACTTTATCAGGAAAAGCTGACTGTCACAAGTTTAAGTTCGCACTGGTAACGAACTTGGTAGCCAATGATTTCGTGACACGTGACATATTTTCGCAGGAAAAATTGACTGGATCAAGTTACCTACCGGTGATAATGAACTTGGTGCACTACGTGGCACAATCTCGTTGTCCGATCAGAATTAATATACCAATCACAATCAAAAAATGAAAACGAAGAAAAATGACTTTTTAATTAATCTACTAATCACAATTAATTGTCAATCACAATTAATGTATCAATCACCAATCACAATTAATTTTGATCACAATTAATGCACCAATCACAAATAGCAATTAATGTACCAATCACAATCACAATTTTGATTGATAAATTAATTGTGATTGGTGATTGGTACATTAATTGTTTGTGATAATACCATTGTTACAAATTCAAACGATGTTTGGGAAAGATAAAATATGCCAAATGAGGTGTCATTGAGTAGATCTCAAAAAATTATGTAAAATAACCTAAAAAACATCCGATTTGGATATCCGAATCAAAACTTATGGCCCTCCGAAGTGGTTGGTGATTGGTACATAAATTGTGATTGGTACAATCAAAAGTTAATCCCATTGATAGGCTAACTGTGATTGGTGATTAGTATACTAATTGTTATTGGTGATTGGTACATTAATTTTGATTGATACATTAATTAAATAGCTATTTTTCTTTATTTTTTATTTTTTATTGTGATTATTAATTATGATCGGACAATGAGATTGTGTCACGTAGTGCACCAAATTCGCTATCCCTGGTAGCAAACTTCCTCCAGTCACTTTTTTTTTTTTTTGTTAAAATGTGTCACGTGTCATGAAATCATTGACTATTAAGTTCGTTACCGGTCATAACGAATTTCAATGCGTAATAGTTTGGTAAATTTTAGTATTCGTGTGAGAGTTTGATATAGGGTTTTATTAATCTCATGTTAAGTTATCTCATGTCATAGAGAAAAAAATTTGGGCTCCACCACTTGAAAAAAAAGGGAAAAAAAGGTGGTACAATTATTGAAAGGTGTGTAGAAAAAAAAGTTATCACATATAACATAAGAATAGTTTTTCTCTTTCATATATTAATGCGACGTAACACATTCGTCACTGTTTCGAAAAACTAAGCGAATGATCTGAATGCACAAAAAGGAATGTTTACTTTCAGGTACAACAGGAATTATTGTTGCTAAAAGTTTCAAGTCGAGACCCCAAATTTTGGAATTTAACCGACGTCCATGTTTTAAGTTGATGATATTCGCCAAACTTTCAAAACGTCATTTGTTTTTTTATCAGAAGTCGTAAAGTAAGTACGTACATACTTTCTATGCCTGATACCAATATTCAGTGTTTGACGAGGTAAACTGTGTGATACTAATTAAGGAAGAGGGGGAGAAGGGAGAGCATTTATTATCCTCCGGATCACTATTTTTTTTGGATGATTTTTTAGTGTAAATGAGAGGATAAAAATAAAAATAAATAAAAAATAAATAAAAAATAATAGAGAAAAAAGAAGAATAAAAAATTAATGTTACGAGACGGACTAAATTATTTTGTGATGCTCATCATAAAAAATATTTCCGGTAGATGGAAACCAAGTCCAATAACATATGTGAAATTAAGAAAAAGCTGCACAATGATTTAATTGTAAGTCTGCTTTTGGTGGGTTCCTAATGTCACTAAGCTCGCTATTATCACAGCTTAAACAAAATGCAATGAATGTTTACTTTCTTTAAGTTTCTCTTTAATCCTTTTGACCAGCATTAAAAGTAAAGAGAGAAGATCGATTCACACAATAAAAGACATGATTCCCTCTGACACAGATCAGACTGATGCTTATCCAATACCAAATATAGCAAAAAGAAAACTTGGAAAAAAAAAAAGTAATCAAAAGCTAGACGAAAAGGGTTTTTTTTTCATATGTCCTCCTTCCTTCCTAGTTCCTACCATTGCCACCTTTTGTTGAATAAAGAAAGAATCACAACGTAAGCAGTTCTCATTCTATTAGCTAAATGCCATGTCCCCGTGAGCACTCACTAGTCACTGATTCGTTGTTCCTGGCTCGGTGGCCCCTTTGATCTTATCTGATAACATCAACACCTCATGATATGAAGTAACACTTACCAACCTATTCAGTAGCTGTAGCCTGTGGGACACTCACCCTTCGTCACCACTTTTATTTATCCTTCTCTTTTGTTTTGTTTGGTTTTGTACACGAGGCATCTCCACTGCGTACGGTCTAGGACAGGTGTCCTTTCAACCTCCAATTATTCATGTAAAAGATAAACAACTTTCAACCGTGCTCCAAAATTGCTGCTGAGTTTTAGCTGTAGTTATAGCAAAAGGATCGTTGCCAAAATCTCCAAATGTTCACCATACTGTGTCGATAGAAATATCGATACGTCTGATAGTTAAAATTGACTCTCTACGTAAAAATAGAAATGATAGTGGAAACGTAATTCATATAAACACGACAAAACATGAAATTTTTACTATTAAAGTCAAGATATAAAATTATATATATATATATATATATATAAATTTTTTTCTACATAAATCACTACTTAAAATTTAATAAATAACTTCATATTTAAAAGATATAAGTTACATAACTATATAAGATATAAATCCAAAAATATTAAAAGAGATAATTGAATTTAAAAAAATGGAAAATAAGTTTTTTAAAATTAAAAATAAAAAAACTGAGTTTAAATAAAAACGTTAAAAAAATGTTAAAACTTGTGTTTTTACCGTTTTTACGTTTCTACACGGCGTTTTTACCCATTTCTACTTACATTTTAACACGTTTTTATATCGCATTTCTACCGTTTCTACGTTTTTACATTTTTAAACTATATTTTAACAAATGTTTAAATTTTTAGGTTTAATGTTTAGGTTTATTGTTTAATTTTTTTTTTAAAAATTATTATATTTATTTTGACAACAGAGAATATTGCATTAATTTTTTATAAAATTTTTAAAAAATTAAATATTATTTAATTATAATAAAAATTTGTATAATTCAACGACATTTCTAAACCGCCTTTAAATTCTTATTCCATGACCCTTAGCCTAAGAATTCTTAATCCACAACGCTTTATAAACCGCCTTGGAATTCTTATTCAACGACTCTTATACAACCGCCTTAAAATACTTATTCCGCGACGGTTAAATAAATGACGTCATGTGGAATTCCACGACGGTTATAAACCGCCTTTCAATTCTTATTCAACGACTTTTATACAACCGCCTTAAAATACTTATTCCGCGACGGTTAGGAAATCGCCTTTGAATATTCATCGATTTTTTTAAGGATATTTTAAGGCGATGATAACCGCCTCAGCAACCGTCGTTGAATTCTGTTTCGACGGTTATTCCAGCGGTTTAATCAAACCGTCGTTGAATTGCCTCTCGACGATAGTAACTACGACAGTTGGTTAACGGCCGAAACTTGCATTTGGAGGCGATTCAAACCGTCGTGAAATGACTTATGAACCGCCTCCGTATACCTCTTTTGTTGTAGTGCCTTGAGGTTAGAGGTAGCAAAGTAGGCGGCCCCGCCATCAACACGTCAAAAAACGAATCAGCCCGTCCGATCCTGCTTTTGAGAGTGGGTTAAAAATGTATCATTTAAATATCATGTATGTAGGCCATTGTGATTATAAAAATGTATCATTCAGACCTATTGTAGTTTTTCACATACATATGCACGCACACACTAGAATGAATGTGTGTGTATATATATATATATATGGGGAGGCTTGTTTTGACTTTAGAGTAAGATTTTTAAGTCTTACTTCCCATCTTAACTGTTGATGGATGGAAATCAATGGTTGTCATTTGTAGTGTAATTAATAATTAATATAACTTCCTAAACTATAACCGTAGGATGAGCGAAAATCAACGATTGAGATGAGTAGTAAAATTTAAAATTTTTACTCTGAAGTCAAATGATCTCTTTTATATATATATACGTACACACACACACACACACACACACACATACACACACACATATATATATATATATATATATGAGGTGAGATCCTTTTACACCAGTGTCAAATATCAAATTTGTTGATGGACGGAAATCATCGGTTGGTATTTGTGGTATAATTAATGATTAATTCATATTGACTAATTCATATATGACTTCCTAAATCATAATCATTGGATGCATGAAAATCAACGGTTGAGATATGATGTAAGATTTATTAATCTTATACCGGTATAAAATTATCCTGATCCATATATATATATATATATATATATATATATATAATACAATTATTTAAATATATCATATAAGTGATTGATTCACGATAAAAATAAATATTTTATTTAAATTAAATTCATTAGATGATTCATATTTAAATCTTTTGATCTTATATTTTTATCATAAAAATAAATCTAAGTCAAATATTATTTTATTTTTTTGATATTGTTAATATAATTTAAAATAAAATAAATCATTTTTTTTGTAATAATAAATAATTTATTTAACTGATACATCTTTAATTTATCTTGAATAATATTCTTAATTTTAAATATATTTTTTTAACTAAAAAAATTTAACATGATTTTTAAAATAATTTCAAAATAAATAAATTTAGTTATTTTTTAAATTTAATCATTAATAATTAATTTTGTTAAAAGTTTATTTGATATATCATAATTATAGAAAATAAAAGTTCTAATTTTTTTATTAATTTCAGGTGTGAACAATAAGTTTAAAATTGCAAGAGATTAAGTAATACACCGTTAAATTATAAGGGGTGAAAATAAAATTTTTCCTTTTTTTTCTGTAATAGGTTATTTTATCTTCCTTTGTCTATTACTCGCTAACACCATTAGATCAGAATCTTAATAAGCGAGAGAAATGATAAAGATAATTGAGATTCTAAACTAATGGTATTGGAGAATAGTAAATAAAAGTAGGCAAAAAAAATAAAATAAGTAAAATAAATTATTATTTTTTTATCCATAAAGTCTTGAGAATCAATTAAACATTACAAATTAGCCCCGGTCGTGCACTTGGCATCTGTCCTGAATCCTGATCTTTATTACCGGGTTGTGGTAATGAGATTGAAGTTCCATTTCCCATTCCCATTAAAGATGGATTAAAAAATAGCCTCAATACTTTTAGTTATTCTATTATGTACGAAGGGGCAAACAAAAATTTCCAAATATAAACATCTTGAATCCATAGGAATGGAGCAATATTGGGTCATTCCGATTTATCGGTCAAAGATCAAATTGGGTAGATTCCATCATGGACCATAAGGGAGGTTAGAATAAGACCCAGAAAGTGTCTCTTTTTTCTCATCGATCAGTAAAGTTATAAGAAAAAAAACATAGGGTCCGTTCCCGACCCCACAGATGAAAACTAACAAGGAGGATAACGGATCGGAGATAGATGCAGAAGGAAGCTCATCATGTCAACGTCCCATCCAATTTTTTTTATTTTTTTTTGAAGTTCTATTTCTGTTAAATTTCAACGTGTCATCATTGTTGGCCATCCACATCAATTCTTTTAATTAATTGAAAGCTGTATCCAACAAGTGATAATTTATAGTTGAAACTTGCAAAATAATTAATAGCATTACAAATCACCGACACGATAGAAAATTCATAAATCTTTCATCTTTGATCGATCATCCAGGTAAAATTCTAATGCACAATTAGTTTGTAATAAAGAGTGAGATTACAATACATAGTCAAAAGACTCAAAACCATAAAAGCAAACCAAGAAAAAAAAAAAAAAAAGCAAGAAATTACACAGTGAATCTTGAACCAGAACCGTAGACAACAAGGGGGGAAAATGAAAATTCAGTGATGGTTGAAATGATCAGATCCACAACTAAACTAAAAAGGACTGTGGTCGTCCTATTCTGTGGAGCTTACTTGAACATGGGTCGGGTCGAATTTTGCTTGTTTTTGAGGTAGATGTTATGTACTAAATCTAGAGTCCTTGTGCATTAGTGTGTTTGTAGAAGATTGAATTTATTATGTCAACGAGAAATATCTGACATTGCTGTGTTAACTAACTGTTGCTCCATCTCCCAAGTTAGCTTGGGGCCCACGTCACAGTGCTTAGGGACATATTCCTGTTCCAAGTAACATATCAACGGCTCAGATAATTTGGATTAAATTTGGGCCCATCACATTGTCCCACGTGTGCATATATAATATATATATATAAAAATTAAGATGTAGTGGAAATTGGAAAACTGCAATTTGTGATGTACAATTATTTTGGTACCTCAAGCTTGCACATGAGGTCTTGGGCAGTGTGGGCAGAAACAATAATATGACGGGCAGCTGGTGTTACAAAACCTTCATCCACAGCTTTGTCCATGAATGCCAGCAGCGAGTTGTAGTACCCATCCACGTTCAACAACCCCACCTGCAACAAATTGCTTCCCTTAATTTTTAATTTTTTTTAATTTCCATTAATAATAACAATAAATCAAATTCTTCTCTCTTTTGAATCCCAAACACCATCGTTGAGTCTTTTTCTTTGACTTCCTCAAATAGGGGAATTTCTGCTAATAATGTCCATTTATGAATAATTAATAAACGAAATATTTCTTTGAAAAATTAGTTGATTTGTTTTAATATGTGATGTGAGTATTAATTTTTTTTTTCATCACGAGGAAAATGACTTTTGTTTATATGACTAAAAAAACTATTATCTAAATCTATCTTAGACAAAAAAAGGCTTACAAAAAAATAAGGAGCATCTTACCGGTTTATCATGGATTCCAAGTTGAGCCCATGTGATTATTTCCAATAGTTCTTCGAGGGTGCCGTATCCACCTATTGGAATATAAATTCGTGTGAATTTTCACCAAAAACAAAATTGCATGAATTAATATATTATTACTTTCATAATAATACATCAATAGCATGTTTATAAAAAAAAAAAATCAATAATAGAATTTCATACCGCCAGACAAATTGTAAGTATAACACATACGGTTGACAGTTATGGATACAGTTATCTTGGGAAATTTTTTCTATTTCCAAGAAATGACAACCAGGGATGAAAGATAAAGACGGATGGACGTCTTTATATACACAAATATTTTTATTTTTATTTATTTTTGCAGATATTACGGTACAATATTTTTAAAGCTTGAAAAAAATATAACAAAGAGCTCACACCACTAATCTTAAATGATAGTGTAAGTTTTGAGGTTCTGCTGTTGCTAAAATTTGCTTGCGGAGTTTTTGGTATATATAACTAATTGTATTTCAAAATTTAAATACACAAATATATTTTATTGAAACGAGCGATATCCTTTGAGACTTAATGTTAGTTAGCGTGCAGAAAGCAAAAATATCTCATTATCTATATTACAGAGTACAAGTCGGAGAAGAGATAAATTTTATAAAGGGAAAGAGCAGAGTATGAAAAAAAAAAAAAAAAAAAAAAGAAGCAAAAACCTGGCATGGCAATAAATGCATCAGCTTGTCGAGCCATTTCGGCCTTGCGTTGGTGCATGCCTGATACAGCTCTTACTTCTCCTACAGTCTCTCCAGTGATCTAAACACATTAATCAAACTATTGTCAATTCCACTATACAATTATTATAATATTTTAATTAATTAATTAATTAATTAAACTCAAGACCCCAATAGCATAATAATATATTTGTCTGAAATTAAAAAAGAAAACTAAGTACCTCTCTGGGCATAAGTGTTTTGGGAATCACTCTGCAACAGCAGAAAGATTCATCATTCATCAGCATAAATACAGGAACAAAGAGACGAAGAAAGAAAGAAGGAGCTAGCTAGGAGCGGTGAATTACCCTAACACGTGGCGTCCACCATCATAGACAACTTGTGATATCAGACCCATCAAGCCAATACTTCCACCTCCATAAACCAAGTCAATGTTCCTCTCAACCTGCATAATACATTTTTCTCCTTTTTACTTACACTCTCAAAACTTCAATTAACCATTTAGACTCTTTGATAGCTCCAATTGATTCAATAATCGCTTGGCTTGGATTATCTATTCTCCAACGCCCCTAGTCCAATATTTTTTAAAAGGCAGAGGAAAAAACAGGACTGACTAACTGACTAACTACAACACTCTCTGCTTTATTACAGAGTTCATAACAAAAAACACAATACAATGAGAAAGTACTAGGTTGAAAGTCTCACATAACAGTAAAAAAAAAAAACAACAACAAAATAAAAACCGATTGGAATGAGAAAGTGTTTAATAATATACTTGCCAGTTGTTTTCCGAGTTGGATAGCAGCGAGTTGGTAGCTGGGGTTCTTTCCAGGTCTGCTGCCACAGTAGACACAGATGCGTCTGAACCTAGACTTGATGGCTTGTTGTTGAATTTCCATAACAGGAAAAAGATAAATGATTTTGCTTTGAATGGGGTTATGGGGATTGATTGAGTAGATAAAGGAAGAGAGGAACAGAATATAGGATTACAGGGCGAACGTGTCTGTTGTGGGAAGGAAAGCAGAACAAAGGAGGAGTCAGCAATCACTTTGAAAGCCAATACCCAAAAGTGAGGAGAGGAATCAGAATTATTATTGTCATTGCTTCACTTCTCTTTATTTATAGTTATTACTGTCTCTTAATTAATAAAGATGAGAATGAGAATATGAGAGAGATTCACCCACACATGATATTTTCGCATATCCACATCTCACATCTTTTTTTCCTTCTCCTCTTATCTCGTCTGACTCCTCACATATTCTTCCTTCATTTTGTTTTTCTTATCATTTTCTACTTCTCCGAATATTCTCCTTTCCATCTATTTAGATGTAGTGTAAATTTATTCTACACTCATCAAATTATATAAATTACGCGTTATAAAATTTTAAAGTTAAGTCGAATAATACAAATTTAAATTTTCATGATAAAATTTGTTTATATAAAATAAATAAATTGACCTTTTGACTTTAAAATGTATAATAACGTCACATGTACGCTAGCGGCCTTAGATTAATAAGACACGTATGTACCAAAAATTAAATAAAATTAATAAGACATGTAACAGATTTTATTATTTATGTATTTAGATTTTAGATCCTGTTAATCAATTCAAATATGTGTGTATGTGTTTGGGATAATATCCGGATGCAATCTACAACTCACTTTGTATACCTGGACTCTTAGGCACTTAGCATTAGCAGTGCATGATATAATATCTCTCCCTCCCTAACCAAAAAAAACATGATATAACTTCATATTATGCACAGATGCGCTGGACCTAAAGAAAAAATCATTTCATAACACTGCAGTTCCTTTGTGCTAAAAATAGATTCATCGTACTATTAAACCGCTGTGCAGTTCAGTGGCGCAAAAATAATTGTCCTTCTCCTCCAATTTATTTTTGGAATTTATTATTCTTATGTTACATAAGAAAAAACTTATCTCCTCCACACACAAATTTAAAATGGATCTCACTTTAATTTCTCTCTCTCTCTTCCTTTGAAAGTGAATCCCACTTTTACAAATGAGTAGTAGAAGATAATTATTATCTCTTACTACATGAGAAAACTATTCTCTTTATTTCTCCCTAAAAAGTTGGGGTGGCATTCATAACAATGCCAACAATTTTCAAAAAAATTATATTATTCAAAGCTCATGTTTAACTCATATACTGTTAGAATTATTTTTTTAATTAGAAAAACTTAGAAATAGTCAAATAATTTAATAAATGAAAATTTAAATAGAAATAACTATTAACATAAATTTGGAGACATATATAGAGAGGACAGTACAGCAAACGAACTATAAAATATGAAGCAGAATGTAAAATTTTCTGTTCTAATTTTTCCCGTGCAGCACATTGTTAATTATTTCTATTTTCAAAACCTTCATCGTGCTCACAAATATAAAATATACGAGTCCCAGAACTTAGGAGTTCTACTGTCCGGCCCGTGATTCGTGAATGTTTTTTTTTTTTTTTTTTTTTTGGGTATGCGATTCGTGAATGCTTTGCCTGAAAATAAAAGTGATAACGAAATTGGACGGTTGTTGCAATTTGCGATTTGCAATTTGGTGGACGAAAAATGCATAAATTCTTCATTGATGGGTGTGGAGGAAAAATATCAATTAAAATTAAATGGACCTACTCGATATAAAGATGTGTTATAATTACAGCTGTAGCGGTTGTTACATGCAATACAGGACCAAGCTACTGGGCCTGCCCAGTTGCCCATCAATCACCATAATAATAATGCACAAAAGGGACATAACATAAGAAAGAAAGAAAAAAACTACGTCAAATTCACATGGTCTTATACATACTCAATTAAATAAACTCAAAATGTTATTTAAAATATGATATGAATATTTGTTTGGAGGAATTTATGGGAATTCCTGTCCTGTCTCGAGAAATAATTTTGAGAACGTAGGCATCTTAAATTTAACTTTTTCCTAAAAAAAAAAAATATTTTTGCAATTACATATCCAGTCTCATTAATTATCCTTGTTGTATTTAATTTTGCCAATCAGGGAAACAGAAGGTGGCAGTTTGAAGTTTCAAGAACGACTAAACAGTGAAGTGTATCGTCTTTGTCAAACAACCCCCACTGCTCAACTCAGATACGTAGCTAATTAAACCAATTTATGTATCTGTCATTTTCCAAATAAATGGAGGAAAGAATGTTTTAGTAATATTCCATACCCTTTTACATTTTTTTTCTTTTTTTGTTTTGAGATGAGAGGAGGGGGGGCACTTCCGACTTTACACAATATATAGCTATTAATCGTGGATATCTCTTTCTCATTTGAGAACGACAATAAACTCCAACTATTCCCCGATAGGCGATAGGCAATCACTTTTGAAATCTCATTCTCTTTTGCTTCTCCAAAAAAACTGGTTTCATATTTGGGTCCTCCATCCTCTGGATTGGTATTATTATTTAGTCCAAATGAGTTGCAAATCAGAACATTGGTTTTGCAATTTCCATGAATCAGGGCAAGGAACAAAAAGAAAAAGTTGGGAGAGAAAAAAGAAAAATTCGCTAACCCTTTTTTACTTTTAGTTTCATTGTCTTTCATATATTCTTTAACCGCTTTGTGAAAAGATTCTTCCTAAGAAAAAAATGAGCCGCCATTTCAGATTATTCACACTTCAAAATTTATTAGTCTAATATAGAGTTTGTGTTTTACAAATTAAAATTATGAAAGTTTGTGTGATAAAACACTTTGTTTTGTAGAAAAAAAATTCCAAAGTGTTTGCAAATTTTTTAAATCATGTTTGAGGTTAAATTGGAACGATAAACTTTTTGTTGTTATATATATTTGTGTAACATAAGAGGCTGTATCTAAGCATATAAGAGAATTTACTTAAGTAATTGTATTTTGAAAAATTCAAAATTTTCTAAAATAATTCGTTAGTAGACTTTTATAATAAGAGCCCACTCTAATATACAGTATAAATATTTATTTACCTACTCTGTTTTGTGCAATAGGACTAGAGGTCAGGGTCCCTTATCAAAGTTTGATGTTAAATTTTATTTTATCGTTGGAGTGTGTTTGGTTCAGGCTTTTGGTTTTTCATTCAAATGTAATTGGTATTCAACGATTCCTTTGTTTGGTAGACAGAATCCAAAAATTGTGACATGCTTTTCTTTTCTCCATCCTTTGACAAGCATGTGAAAAAATGAAAGAAAAAACAGTGTAAAATTTGACCAATTTGAGTGTAGTATTCCTAGAAAAGGCCGGGTGACCCCAAAAAGATGACGAACACGTTACCATATTACCCTCGGTCAAGTACACATGTCTACAGATTCAGAAATTAAATTACGGGTTGTTTTCGGTATTTCAACACATTTACCCATCATTATTTCACCTTCAACCAAACAAAGACTCATAAAATTTAACCTAATTTTCTTGGTGAAAATTAGGCCAACTAAATAATTTTTTTTAACTTTCCTATCAAATTCACTTTCCTACAATATTACTGGTAATTGCATTTACTTGGTAAAAAAAATTATTTACTCTACCAAACGCTCGGTAGAGAATAATTTCTTTATTTTTTTATAACAGTGGAGGGCACAGCCCAAAGAAAAATAAAATTACAAAGTGAGATGTTGCATGTCAGGAAATTAGAAACAACATGCTCTATCATCATTTTAGATCTAGTTACATTCTTGCGGATTTTTTTGTTCTTGCGAATAATGATTCCAGAAAATATGTTGAAAAAGTAAATTTATCAGGAATATTATCAAAAATTATTTGGTAGGCCAAAATATTTTCAAAAATATTAGCTCAAGTTTTCTAATTCTATATTTGGTTGATTGTCAATGATTCATGTGAATGTGGGCTAATTTTATAAAATTAACATTTGATGAATTTTCGAAAAAAAATTCTAATATTATACCACAAAGAGTCAAAATACAGAGTTGGAGATCAAAACCAAATTTTCCAAACGATTGTAAAGCAGAGTATCACGAGACTTTAATAAGATATGGCATTTTAGTCATATAAATATTTAAGCTAAATTATTTATGTCCTACAAATTATATAAAAATTCCACCAGGTGAGAATCGAATAATACTACTCACTTGGTGGTATTATTTAATGGGATTCCTATTTATAATTTTACTTCTCAATAATCTCATTTTTTTCGGGAAATTTTAAAAAATTCTTATACTAAACATGGGCAACTAAAATTCTCAATTTATTCATCTACCAAATGGCCCCTAACATTTTTGTAAGTTAAATAATTTATAACGATATAAAACTAATAAGCCTTATATCAATCTTAACAGTTGATTTTCTTGTATCTAACAAATATAAAACAATAATTAAGATTTAATATAAAATTTATTATTCTTATACCGATATAAAAATACCCCACCCATTTATATTTACCCTGCAAAGCAAGTTACTACAAAATTTTAAAAATCTTGATATAATTTTTTATATTGGTGTCTATCTATCCTTTGGGATCATAAGCATATCATTGACATCCTACGTAGTGCATGATTATCAGGTTTTTTTTTTTAATTTCTCTTCTTTTTATAAGTAAAATTAGACCAAATAATTTTTTATAAAAAATTCTTATAATAAAAATAATTTTTTATAATAAAAAAAGTCAAAAATTAAAAGCTCCTAAAAGAAACTTTTCATAAGTTATATCAACTTTTTTTGGAAATAAATAACTTTTTTGAAATGAAATTTTTTTAAATAACTTTTAAGTTAAATTTTTTATATAATCATCAAATAAATTCTATCTTTATTTTTAAAGTTGTTTTTTTAGTTTTAACTTAAAAATAATTTTTAACTAAAAAAAAAGCTATCAAACAGGCTCGTAGTAGCATTTGGGGGATATGTTTTTTCTTTTTGCTTTTATTCATAAAAACATAATTTATAGGTTTAGACGAAACATTATAGATTTTAATAATTATTTTTTTCATATAAACTTAGAGAAAAAATATAGAAAGCGAAAAAACTCAAGTCAAAACTATTGTATTTAGTAATACTCATAATAACATCTATGTTGTTTTATCTTACAAAATTATTTATGTATATGAGAAGAACGTTAGTAACATTAATTAGTTTTACAGTCGAATTATATAATATAAGCTTTG